TCTCCATGCACCTGCTTTCTCTTAGATGGAGGGTTACGGGGCTTCTGATACTGGCTTGATTTTCCTTGTCCTTGTATCCCAACCTATTTTGCTTTCTTTCATCACGAATCCTCTTCAAACTGTTCTTAGCAACATTACATTACCTCAAACATCCAGCATACATGGTGAACTCTCTCTGAGATACACTATGAGTGATGTCTGCCCTCAGCCCAAACAAAAAGTGATCAATCTTTTAAAGCTCATCCGCTGCATAAATCTCTTGTCTAGAGTAGGCAACCATGTCTTTAAACTTCTTAACATATTATGACACGAACATGTTGCCTTGCTTAAATAATTGGAACTCGTGCTCCTTTTGTGCATGCAAGCTATTAGGGCAGTACTTCTCCAAGAAGACCGTCTTGAAATGTTTCCAATCCTTTGGAATTTCTTGCTAGGTCATATAAGTAGATGCGGTATCCCACCACCTACCAGCTGGTCCCTTCATCATTTGAGCATTAAACATCACTTTATCCTCTTCATTACAACTGATAGGTTAGAACGCTCTCTCCATACCATACATTAAATCATGGCCCACTACTAGATCAAGGCCACCTAAGAACTTTGGTTGTTTCATCTTGAAGAATGCATGGAAGTCTAGCTCTGCTTCATTCTATGGAGTAGGAGGAAGGGGTGGTTATTGTCCTTGCATACCCTGCATCATCAACTAATTCTATTGTTGCATTTGTTGCAGTATCTGCGGCCACGATAGTTATGCATTCCCAATTCCAACCTCAGGCTCCATATTTTGAGTCCTGGGCCTTCCGGAAGCTCTACATTCTTCAACCATTTTCTTGCTTGTCCTACACATGGAATTAAGTTGACCAGGCTCAATTCCATAAGTAAGACATAAGGAATTATGCCAACTACTACACATATGAGGCAAAATTGAACTGACTTATGATGTTTCATGGCAAAGTCGAGAATCGGCTTACTCTGATACCAACTGTGAGACCCCATACATATATGTGTAGAATAATATGCATATGGCATTATAAGATGGTACATGAACGTCATACATAAGCAGCAAAACATAATAAAGTATTGGTATAGGATACAAAAGCCGAATACATTGTGGCCAAAAAGGTACAATCCTAAAAGTACTAATACATAATCCATGGGCACATAACTGAAAACTCAAAACACGAAGAAGATCTAGCCAAAGAAGCATCTCCAAGCAACTAGGGCATCTTTTCCTTGCCTTTGTCTTCTTCGAGAAACCTGGAAAAAATATAATAGGATTGAGGTGAGATTACTAAATCTCAGTGAGTCCCTCTATCTTATGGATCCACTTGGATCTATAAGGCACATGCATCAATTACAGATCCACAATTGATTCAGGGTTTTCTCACTGTCAAGTACAAGAATACACAAACATCACGTAGCATCACAATTAGGAGTCCATTAATCACCCAATTTAGAATCATGAATCAGACAAACATGTTAGTACAACCAAGTATGCAGACCCGTACCCGCATACGAAGAATCTAGAAATAGTACATGCCTTCTAACCCAGGCCATACAAGTACACCATTGGTGAGTATCCATAAAAACTTATTCTAAAACCAAAGTGTATAATGCCACGAAACTACTTAAGCACATCGCTTTCGATGAATCAGGTGTGTACACATCAGAACTTAATCTGGGACCCAAGCGATTTACACCTATATGGCTACACTAGCACACATGGGGTGAGTAGCCCAAGTGTAATTCGCCTACATGGCTACACAAGCACATTAATTGACACGCAGATGTGTACACATCAAAAATTAATCCAGGACCCAAGTGTAATACATTTATATGGCTAACAAGCCCACTAATCTATGACTCAGGTGAGTACACATTGTAACTTAATCCAGAACCCAAGTGTTTTACACGTATATGGCTACACAAGCACACCTGTGGTGAGTAACCCAAGTGTAATCTGTCTACATGGCTATACAAGCACACTGATCAATAATGTTGATATATTAACCGCAAGTGGGTATACGTCGCATCAGACCTCCAGAAGCACATCGCTTGATATCCCGGTCAGTCCCAAAGTGATTTACCACCTAGAGGTTTAGGCCTACTCCGATTCAAGCATGCACAACATCCACATACGAACATTCACCTGGAATGAACGAAAAACAATTGACCAATATCACAATATACGTAAATCCATAATGCATTATATTAGTTATACAATACAAAAGAGGCGTCCCATTCGCATCACGGAACATATCTGAACTCAGGGGGGAAAGAGATACAATTATGCTAATATAGGCTCGCTTAGCGAGACCTAGCGAGGTCTCGGTGAGTCCTAGAAAAACTGAAATGTTCCTAAAAAAGGCATGTTTTCTTAGCGAACCAGCTGCGAGTTCCACTTTGCTAAGCGAGGCCAAGCGAACTTCCGGCCAGCTCTAACAGAGGCAAACTCAACTCTGAGAATGTGTAGCTCACTAAGCAAGACCATCCTCACTAAGTGAAGGTCCTGCAACTCAGAAAAACTAGAACTTCCCACAATATATTAGAACACAATAGCTACAACATGCATCCCCTACCCAATTCAAGGGCAAAAATCATGTATAAAACAAAGGCTTTACATCAGGGCATGGGATTAATACAAGGAGTAGCATTTCATAGACTTGTTATCAAGAAATTCATTCTTGCCCACCATCATGCAATTAGACATTGATTTTTCACATATCACAAACTGACATAAAATTATAATATCTGTTCATATTGAAAATGAGCATTGAAAGAGATTTCCAACACTTCTTGTTAGAACATAGTTTAGTTCTACATCCTTGTAATAGTTTTGATGATAACTAACAAATGATATATATATATATAAAGAAAAAATATGCTCTCTAATAATGTATTTAAATATGCAGAGAAATTCTGATGAAAGTAGCCTAAAAGATGAGAGAGTTACATTTTGAAGTTCTGTTTAAACACAACATACTTAGAAGCAAATCCGTGTAACACGCTAAAATGAAGAATTTCTAATGTTACAACTTCTGAAAGCACCAACGCTGCGAGCAAAACTCCGATATTCTGATAAGTAAAGTTCTGGAAGGACAAAAGAAGTCAACGCACTCATCTACTCATCTTTTATAAAGATTCAACACTTGAGCTACACTCTGCTAGTAAATACTCTGATATGAAAAAGAAGCTCCAACGTATCATCCAAGTTCTAATGAATATCAAGAAACTCTGAGGATCTAAAGTCTCAATGATAACATTCTTCTTCTGATATGATCATAAGAAAGCAATGTTATGATGCGTTACAAATCATTTATTATAAATAAAAAAGTAACGGCTGAACCAAGACAAGATCTATATTTTTGGAAAGTGCACTAACAACATTTCATCAACCTTCCAAAAACATCTTCTTATGTCTCTTATGCATCGCCTATAAAAAGAAGACTTGAAGAAAAAATTATACAACACTACTGCGCACTAAAAGAGAAAAATATTATTACCCAATTCTATCTTGTGCTTTACAATTGTATATACATCACTGTTGTGATATAGTTTCGTTTATAAAACATCTTTGTACACACTTTAAATTGATTTATCTTGTAATACCTTGAGAAAACTGAGTTGTGGTTTAAATTCAAGAAGACATTGATAGTAGTCATTGTACCGTGTAATCAAGTTTTGATTAGTGGATTAAGATCTCGTTTGAGAGAGGCGGAATCACATTGGCGGGTGGACTGAAATAGTTTGAGTTCAAACGAACTACGATAATCAATGTGTCTACTGATTTAATAATGAAAACTCCAATTCAAACCCCCCCTTCTTATGTTTTTTCATTCTTCAATTGGTATAAGAGTTTTTAGTTCTGGGTGCAAACACTTAACCGTGTCAGAAAAAGATCCAAACAAGAAAAACACTATAATGAGACTAAGTTAGATTATCAGCAATGATAACCATGATTATCCTATTTCCGTATAAAATTATACTTATACTTTGTTGAGGATGTAAATTTAATTGACTGGTATCAAATTAATTCTACCATATTGAACTATTTTTTAATAGTTTTTGTGTTTGTTTAGAGTCTTTTTCTTTGATCTTTTGTATTAGGAATGAATATTTTTTTGTAGTCGCATTAATATTTTTTGCTTATGGAAATCAATTATAAAGTTTTCTTTTTATTGTATTTGACTTTTAATAAAAGTTACTTTTCTTTTTATTATATTAAGATAGTTTTTCTCTCTATATTTTTTTTGGCCAGTACACAAATTTATTATGAATACCAATGTGAATTCAAACTTCAAACTTCACTCAGGCGACCAATTCCAATATGAAAAATTAAATATACAATTTTAAATGTCAACAAAGGAAATAGTAGAAATTTCAAACAGGCACCTAACTACTCTATATCTCCACCTGTATTGACGTAAAAAAAAAGTCTTTGTTTAGAAATTAGAAAACTGTTCGAGTATATTTAAGATATGGATCACGAAAATCAAGAGTAATTAAATTTAGACTATTATGATTTGTTGATGTAAATTAATTTATATTTATTTTGTATTAAATTTTAATTATGTTTCAACGCCAATAATAAATTTATTATAATAATTTATTGTGAATTATCATTTAGACAATGATATAAACTAATCATAAATAAAAAGAAATTTCGTTTAACAAGAAAAACATATTATTTTTTTCTTTTTAAATAACATGAATTATGATAATAAAAACAAACAAGTTGTAACATATAATTAGTGGAATACGCATAATATCGGTATGAATATCGGTATGGTACGCGCATATGTTTCTAAATTTAAAAAAAAATAAAAATATATAAGTATTTATAATTCTTCGAATGAGTAGGTACCTTATAATTCTTTTAAGTTACTACAATTTACTAAATTAAATTTCAGTTAAAACTCACTCTAGTTAGACTGACGGAACACTAAACATATTACCACCATCTACTTATCCATCATTTTCCATCTTGTCCCTCTTTCTAATCAAACCGCCAAAAATAACAGAAGGGACATCTTTTTGTGCAATCTCATTTTGATCTTCCTCATCGGAGTTGTTTTCTTCTCAATTTCCTCATGGTTTGCACTACATTTCATCCATCCATCAGACTGTTGTGACTCCACTCCAGCACTTACAAACTCAACTTTTCTCTCTTTTGTAACTGTTTTATCAGCGGCTGGAGCTAATTGCCATTCTAAAGCAGCCATTTCATCTTCAACGATCCCAGCCACTTTAAGTTTGTCTTTGGCTTCATCAAGATTCACAAAAGGTAAGTAACCAAAATAAATTTGAAGGAACATAAGTCTGAAAATGAACCTGCATTCCCAAACTTTTGTAGTACTAATTGGAGGTAACTAAGACAGTCAGCATTCTTTAAGGGATGGAAAGCAGCTGCAGTTGTAGCTAGTGAATTAAATAAAGATCCAATCTTTATTTGATACTTCATGACTGTATTCATGTCCAGTGACTTCAACATTCCTTCTGACACATATGCTAGATATTCTCTCCACCCTTTTGAATTGATTTCAGAGACTCTACATCCAGACAATCACAAGAGGGTGAATTGGAACTGTTGTAGCATTAATTGCTCTACATATTGACAACAACAGTGTATCTAAGTTAATTGTAATCCTAAATGATATAACCATCTTTTTTATGAAGGGCTAATGATTTCGAGATACTAACTACATGTAAAAAATAAAGTAAAGTACAAAAAGACAAAAACAGATTTATGCTTCAAGCATCTGAAACTTAGACATCATAAACCTTAGAATAACATATGTACCCTATAAAATTATCAGAGTGTCTTACCTCCCCTAATACTGCTGCCTTTCCTATTATAACCGAAGCCAATGCAGAGCGAACATGTTGTGATGAATATGTTGATAACTCCTACAATAGGAAAAATTTATCAGTGATCTTCAATTTAACTTTTATAGACATCAAAAGTATCATAGAGATTTTAACCTGGGAGAATAGTATTTTTATGTCAATCCATACCTTTACACATGGTAGACGACATTCTCGAGTTACCTGTAAATTTCCTATCAATATATCAGTTTCAAAACTAGAATTCTTATGTGATTGATGGAGTAAATTAAAATTCACAATTTCAACTCAAAGCAACAACCTACTTACCAACATTAACTTCATTCTTTTTCTTAAAATTAGGGACAATATCAATTGTAACATCCTCTTCCAAATTCTGTACACAAATGAAAAATAAAGATCAGATTTATTATCATTAAGATTGTGTGATAGTCAATTGTTTATCCAAAGATTGATTAATAAGATGGGTTTCTAGGTTAAGACAATACATCTTGGTTAATGGTTAGATGCTACCAGCCTGAAGTTATTGCTTTGATAGTTGCTATAGCTTCCAAACCACCAGCAACACCAAGACAATGCCCAATCATTGATTGAAAAAGAGAGGAACTATAATAAGCTTCAAGATCAAATAGAGGAAGCTGTTTGAGTTCTAAACTATTTAAAAGTAAATAAATTTTGATTTACCCAATCATTATCTCTTTGAAGGCCGCAACTCAAAATCGACCTCACCATTTCTGTTAAGGTAATTTGAAGCTTCTGATTTACCGTTTTCGTATGCGATGAATAGTTATTATGCAATTTGTAACTGGAGTAGCAAGCTGCAAAATTTAAAAACCAATTCAGACACATTATCAGAATCAAAATTCATTACACCTTCTCATGTTCGCATTCATGTTCAAATCACTTCAAATTGATATGTGAGAAATGAGATTCTCATAATCCATTTGGTAAATCTGTTATATACAACTATCTGTACCTTTATTGCAGAACTTCGTGCGCTGACTTCGTACACTCAATATTTCAACCAAGAGAATATCAACTCACTGCCACTATCCAACAATTTTCAAGTGATAAAGTGAAGTCCTCCGAAAAGCTAACAGAAGCTACTGAAATAAATTGTTTTGGACTTTTTGCGGCTTCGTATTCCTGAACAAATTATTATCAGTTTATTATTACAAATTTCTAAACAACACGCCTGATCAATTTGTGACATGAAATCTTTAATAAACCGACGAGTTCCTATACCAGTTAATCATACAGTTATTCCATATGGAATTGTAGTAATATTACATCATCATCGTCTTCATCATTGACTTCAGACCTGGACTTGTCAGATCCCACTTACTTAGATGCAGTTTTTCCTCCATCATAATACATAAAATTTATTTCAATCAATCACAATAGATAACACAAATCAAAGTAAAATTTGATCAATAATTAAACAAACAATTTACCAATGAAATGTTGTAGGCACTTATAGCCTTCTCATACTCCTCTTTCTTCTTCTCTGCAGTAGCAACATAAGGAGCATTTTCCTGAAATAAACGCAAAAAAAAAAACAATGTTAAAATCATAAATCGAATTATCACAATAATCAAATTAACTTCGATAAACTATAAAAATTTACTCAAAGCATCAGACAATGTTGTAAACACAATCAAACACGAACACAAAGATAAACAATTAGAATTAGAAATCTATTAGGGTTTAAATATAAAAAAGAGGATTACTGTGAATTTGATGATCAAAATTTTGATCGTACTTCAATGATAGAACAATATAACATCTCTGAATCAGAGGTCGTTAGTGATTTTCTGAGACGTCGGCATCACTGCGTTACCATTGTTAGGATGAAGGAGGTTGATGAAGATGAGAAGAAACTGAAAGATGGAACGGTTGCAGAGTAATGGTGTTGGAACAGTTTTTGGAATTGGAATATCAACCCATCTGTGAAACCGTCATAGTAGAGAAGAAGATGAAAGGGTCGTAGAATTTTGGGAAAATGGAAAGGTTGGATATGATATATTTGTTTCTCCTCTCAAGAAGCCAAGTGTTGTGTTTCTGGAACAAAAGGATAAAATAGGCTTTTACGGTAGAATGAGTTTTCTTATATTATAGATTACTCAAGTAAAGAGAAAGACAGGGTTTGATTTTTCAGTGAGTAATTGTAGGAATACACAAAGGTTTTTCACCCCTTTTCAAGTTTTTAAGCTGTGTTGTAGACCTCCTTGAGTTTATGGACAGTGTTAGAAACAGTTGGGATGAAAAGCAAACAAACAAGCCTATGTATAAAGTATGGAGTAAGTTGAAGAAACTCCAACCTATTATGAGAAATCTAAACAAGGAAAAATAGATATTGTGAAGAGAATCCTGGAGACTAGAAACCAGCTGGAAAAAGCTCAATAACTCATTGCAAATGACAATTTCAACCAGGATTACATTCATGAGGTAAAGAATTAGACTGGGGAACTTATGCAAGCCACTGAGATTGAAGAAAAGATTCTGATGCAGAAGGCCAAGATAAATTGGCTCAAGCTAGGGATGGAAATAACGCTTACTTCCATGCTAATGTTAAAGGGAAGAACAAACAAGTTGGTATTCACAAGCTTGAATACCCTAACAGAAGAATTCTAATTGAGTTTAAAGATATAGAAGAAGAAGTGCTTAGAATCTACAGAGACTTAGTTGGTACTAATGCTTGTAGAGCCAGACATGTTGACATTGCTGCAATCAGAGACGGGGCTCAATTACAAGAGACACATAGAAATAAATTGACTCAACCTATATCTGATGATGAAATTTGGACAACCCTAAAAAGAATAGGGGATACCAAAGCTCCGGGATTAGATGATTTTAATGCCAAGTTTTTCAAAGAAGCTTGGAATGTAGTTAAAACAGATAGGAATAAGGGAATACACGATTTCTTCAATCATAATAGGAAATATGCTGCAACAAATTATGTTGTTGTTACTTTAATTCCAAAAAACCTTGAGGCCAAAACCTTGAGGGACATAAGGCATATAGCTTGTTGCACCACTGTATACAAGATTATTTCAAAGATTCTCACCAATAGACTAAATCAGGTAATTAATGGATGAGAACCAGCCTGCATTTGTCCAAGGAATAATTATACGTGACAATATCATTGTTGCTCATGAGTTACTAAAAGGCTACAATAGAAAGCACATACCTCATATGTGCAATTCAAATAGTCATCCAAAAAGCCTATGACACAATTAAACGGAAAGCCCTAGAAATTATTACGAGAGAGATGAATTTTCCTAAACAAATCATCAAGTGGATAATGGTTTATGTTAGTACAATGTCTTACAAATATAACATAAATGGGAAACACACTGGTTTTCGGAAAGCTATGAGAGGTCTTAGGCAGGGAGACCAAATATCTCCCCTGCTTTTTGTGATAATAATAGAGTATATCAGCAGATGTATGAATAAATTGCAAAAGATGCCAAACTTTAATTTCCACCCCAAATGTGAGAAGTTGAATATCACAAATATTTTTTTTGAATATGACCTCGTCCTCTTTTCAAGAAAGGATGAAATCTTAGTGAAGATCATGACGGAAGAGTTCCAACTATTCTCAGAAGCTACAAGCATGAAAGCAAGCCCTTCTAAGTGTAAAGTTTATTTTTGGGGAGTCCATGAGCAAATGCAACAGAAAATTATGGATACCACAAAATTCACTAAAGGAGCATTTCCTTTTAAATACCTTGGCGTTCCTTTGCCAAGTAAGAAGCTGACTGTCCATCAATACAAACCCTTTATAGATATAATTATCAAAATACAAAACCTCTAACATGTATAAGGCCATCAGGGGAGAAAAAGCTCACGTGGCATGGAAGAAGATCCTGAACCTAAATTATGTGAGACCTCGAGAAATTTTCACATTATGGCTTGCTCTCCATGGCAAACTTCCAACTAAAGACAAACTTACTCGATTTAGAATCAAAACTGATGGTAATTGTTGTTTCTACAATCAGGGTGAGTCTTTAGAGCACATGTTGTTCGAATGCAGAACTACACATGAAATATGGAAAGATGTCTTGAGTTGGATATGGTACAATAGAAACCCCACTGGATGGACTGCTGAAGCTAAGAAGAAAGCGTGAAGGCATCAACAGTTGAAGATGTCCATTGTTGAAACAGTGTTTGACATTTGAATAAATAGAAATGATATGATTTTCTCTCAAAAGCATACTGACACACACTTGAAAGAAAATATTATACAAAGTATAGTTAGTAGATGCACTATGCATGGGACTCTTAAGATTCATGTAAATGCAACGACTCTAAGTGTAGACTAGTTGGTTTGGTTGTTTCTCTATTGTTTCCTGGATCCTTCGAGATCAGAGTGTAATTTGTGGTTTTTTGTAATGAAAAGTTCTTTTATTTCCCAAATATATATATATATATATATATATATATATATATATATATATATATATATATATATATATATATATATATATATATATATATATATATATATATATATATATATATATATATATATATATATATATATATATATATATATATATATATATATATATATATTCTTTGTTTTTAAGTTTATTTATTCGACACAATATGAAGAATGTAGTAACAAAATATATAGATACGATA